ACACACACACACAGAGAGAGAGAGAGAGAGAGAGAGAGAGAGAGAGAGAGAGAGAGAGAGAGAGAGATATGTGGACATAGAGGCCCCAATTGGCATTAGTGGTATCATCCTCAATTACTTCTTCACTTTGTTTGTTGTTGTTTGTTTGTTTGTTTGTTATGTTTTGTGGGGGAATCTGGAACTAATTGATTCTATAAGACTGACTGGTGAGCACACTCCACAGATGGTCCTCTGCCTGTGCCCCAGTTCTGGCTTTACAGGAATGTGGTGATTTTAATAGGAATGGCCACAGATAGGGCTCATGTATTTGAATGCTTAGTCAACAGGGAGTGACACTACTTGAGAAGGATTGGGAGGAGTGGCCTTGTTGGAGTAGGTATGGTCTTGTTAGAGGAAGTGTGTTACTGAGGGTGGGCTTTGAGGTTTGAAAATCCCAATCCAGGTCCAATCTCTGTTTCTGTCTCTGTCTCTGTCTCTTTCTCTCTGTTCCTGTTTCTCTCTCTCTCTCTCTCTCTCTCTCTCTCTCTCTCTTTTTCTCTTCTCTCTCTCTCTCTCTCTCTCTCTCTCTCTCTCTCTCTTTCTCTCTCATCTTTTTGCCTGTGGATCTGGATGTAGAACTCACAGCTACTTCTCTGTCACCATGTCAGCTTGCATGCTTCCATGCTTGGCTGCTTGCCATGAGGATAATGATAATAGTTTTATATCTCTTCACAACAATAGAACGCTGATTAAGACAAGGAGTGTTAGACCATTCCTACCTTTTTATATGTGTTAACATCTAAACTCAAATCCTCATGCTTGGGTGGCAGAGATTGGCCAGCAGACTATCTTTTCATCCCCAAAATGATTTTTATCAAGTTCTCTTTGTTTCACAGTCCAAAAATTCTATAGAGAGAGGTAGCATGAGCTATCAAGACCCAGACTCCAGCAGTTCTCAACATGTGGGTCAATACCCCATTCACAGAGGTCACATATTAGATATCCTGCATATCACATATTTACATTACAACTCAAGCCAGTATCAAAATTACCATTATGAAATAGCAACAATATAAGTTTATGGTTAGGGGTAACCACGACTTGAGGAGCTGTGTTAAAGGGTCACACACAGCACTAGGAAGACTGAGAACTACTGCTCTAGAATCTTCTTTGGATATGACCTGTGGTCTCAGCACACTTTTAACTCCTCATTCCTCTAGTTTTCCACAATGACCCAGGATTCTTAGGCACATTGGACCCACTTTTGTATTTCCAGGATACTCTGAACATGATTTACCCTATCCATTTATGAACTCACTCTGGATTTTTGGATCATGTCTGCATCTTGTTCCCCTGGTTGTAATTCAAGAACTTTGACCAGGAAGACAAGATCCCATTTCTGCTCTCTTCCTGCCTCAGTGAATTTGAACATACTGTGTTCAAAATACATAAGATTGAAGGCTTTCTGATTATGTTGCCCCTGCCAGAATCCTCAAATTTAAAATTTTAACTCTGATTGTGTTGTTGATGAAATAATCATTAGACTATGTAGACCTTCTTCAAAGTTGCTCTAAATATATCACAATCTGATTCATGTGTTAGGGATTTTGTTCATTTTATTCAACAAAAATAAATATGCTGTAATTTCAGACTCAGCCTGTCACATCATCTTTGTATAATGTAAAGTTGAAAAAGTCACTGGGCTTCACAAAGGTGCACTACTCGGATGTTTCCTTTCAACTTTTCTGACCTCCATACCCTGAGTTTTCTTCATACTAAGATATGAATCCCCTGAGCTTTGTGACATTTCTTTGATCATGGAAAAGAAAATAACACAAGAAATCCTATCTAAAGAAAGAATCAGAAACATCAAAGCAGATAAGTAGAGTATGGGAGAATTGTTCAGACCCTTGCACACTCTGATGGAAAATTTGTATTGTTACAAAAATAGTGGTACCTGCCACATTATTTCAGATAAAGGTCTAAATAAAGACAGAAGGAAAAACAAAGTAAACAGCAAGCTGAATAGATAAGCAGAGAAACAGAATTCAGAATTTCTGTCAAACCTCAAAATAACTTTATTTTTTTATTTTATTTTCTATTAGAATATGTTCATTATAAAACAATGATAGATTTTGTTACATAAGCATATTTGCATTTTTACTGCATCCTGTTCTTTAACCATGCTCTTCTCCCTTATCTTCTTCTGTCTCCTTATCTCCCACCTGGTTGTCTTCTTAATTTTCTCAAATACTCACTCTCATAATAATTTTATGTAATATACATAAATATATGTACATGTAATTACATATAATCTAGGTTCACATATGTGGGTAAATGTGCTCCTTGTCCTTCTGAATTTGATCTATTTTGCATAATATTATCGCCCGGTCCACTTACTTTCCTCTAAATGACATAATTTCATTCTTCATAGTGGCCAAATAAAACTCAACTGTGCATATAGTATACATTTTCTTGGCTCATTCATCCATTGATGGACATTTAGACTGATTCTGTAAGTTGGCTATTGTCAATATAACTATAACTAACTTAGATGTGCCGGTATTTACGTAATGTTTGGACCAGCAATCATTGTGTATATTCCAAGAGTAATAAAATTGGGTGCTATGCAATTCTGTTTTTAGATTTGTGAGGATCCTTCACACTGATTTCCATAGTGACTGAACTAATTTACATTCCCACTACCAATGTATAATTGTGATTTTCCCACCACATCCTGTGGACTAGTTATAAGTCTTGTTTGATATCAAACACTAATATGAAGATGTATCCCAACAAGACCATTTTTATATGTCATCATGATACCAAGATTATTCATAGTAAATATGAATTCTGAATTGCTTCAGCAACATAAGGTAAAGTAGATAAGAAACAAATGACTACTTAACTTATAGGAGACCTATCTTAATTCTTCTTGTTAATGGTGTCAATATCATATGTCTTTGTTACTAAGAGAAATTAATAGACAAAAGTTAAGCTATAATATCAATTTATTTTTGACTCATGATGACAAATATTAAGTCTAATTATGTTATTTAATTGACTAAAGCTAACAATTTTTGATATCTATAAAACATTTTGAAGAAGATTAATGCTGCAAATAACTGAAGAATAGTAAACTAAAGAAATACCTAGTAAGGCTTTCAGTATTTCATAGTAAATCCTCCCATTTATCTTTTTTTCTTCCTTCTTTCTATCCTTTCCTTGTCCTTGTGTTTTTGTCAATATGATTTTTAATTATTCTTTTTTAATCTTCCTTTCTTTTGGGATTTCCATCTGTTTTATCTTAACTGTCTCTACTCAGTAAACTTAATGATGCTTAGTTAAGGAATTACATCACTATTATTTCATTGCAGAAGTGGAAAATGAAGATAACAGGAAATTTTCAAAGATGCCCAGGGTATGGCACATTGTTGAATCTAGCATGAACACTAGTGGGACAGCTTTAGTGTCGAGACTGGTCTAGTTCCTTGATGCCAATTACTGTCTGATGGTTTTGTCAGGAGGTATTAAACAGTAGCCACCATGTTCTGGAGGTAAAAGATGGATTAATTCTATTTAATATAGATTTTGTATTCTTAACTCAAACATATTTTGCTTAGAAAAAAGCATGTTTGACAAAGGGCAAAAAGCTTGTCTGCACTTCCAACTTGACTAGATGAAACCAGACACTGCAGTCAATCTGTTTATTGACTAGCATGAGTAATTTCACAGTTAGTTCATACAGTGCATATTCTATTGTGAAAATGGCTGAAAGTCTCCAAGGAGATGATCAATCGACCGACCATGGGAAGGGAGATCAATAGAAAAGCCATATGGGGCTGAGACATACAAACAGTTTCTGTTTGCTTTTTATACTTTGGCAAAGAACCTGAGGTCAATCCTCAAAGGAAATTTGCCTAATATGGTCCAAAAATAAACCATTTAATACTCTTGCTTTGATGCAGCTAATGTTCATAGCTTCACGGATAGCCCCTTTTTTTAATTTTAAAGGCTCAGCTGTTGTGTCAAATGTTCAGGACTCAATACAGTCTCCAATGCTTCTCTGTATTGCCTTCTCCCTGACTGAACTTTTAGAAGAAAACAGTTGGGTTGCTGCCTAGATGAAGGAACAGGCATAGTTAAGGCATTCTTTAAGCACAAAAGGAATACAGATAGGATAATAGGATAATAAACAGGTGCAAAGCTAAAAAGTATCACTGGTAGTTGACACAACTCAGATTACCAGATTGTAACATACTTCACCTTTGTGAGAACCACTGGTCATGTCACTGAGACAGCAAACACAGAGTATCCTAACCCAAGAATGTTTTTTGTCTAAGCAAGTGCTTCTCAGCCTTCCTAACACTGATACCCTTTGGTAAACCATAAACTTTTTCATTGCTACTTCATAACTGTAGTTTTGCTACTGTTACGAATGATAAGGTGAAAGGGTCATTTGAGCCCAAAATGGGTTATAACCCACAGGTTGAAAAACACTAAAAACTTTATCCTACCTATGCCCAGAGCTGTGGGGAAAAAAACTATTACAGGCTTCCACTATTAGAATATAACATTTGGTAAGTACACACCTGTACTGAAAGCCACAAACCATGGGTCTATTCTACCTGTTATCTGTGTATGCAGAACCCACTAGTCGCCATAACCTCCACTTTTTCCACGAAGTCTCCCCAGGACTGCTTCAGGACTGTTTGCAGCCCAGCTCCCAGCTATAGTGCACCTGTGTGCACTGTGCACCAGCATGCTTTGTGTCTTACCTGTTCTCCTTTAAGGATTTTACAAGAATGCTGCCAGTAGAGTCTGGTAATTGCTGACATCTCTATCCTACCCCCTCTAATGGAGAGCTACCTTATTGGGCTGCCAAAGGCATAAGAATCTGAATCTAAGTGCTGATAAACCCTTTCTTCAAATTACTGACTAGATTTTGTCTTCACACTCCAAATTTCCAATGCTTGTCATCAAAGGGGCCCTTCTGACCCTAATCAACAATTTGAAAATCAGAGGGCCCAGGAGACCCAAATTTCACATTTCCCTTGTTTCCCTCTCTAGTCCACCCAAATCACTTATTATCTCGTTTTGTGAAATAAGTAGCTATAAGTAGCTCCATGTACATAGATATGAGCATGTAACATGGTTTTATATATGGACGAGAACACTTATTAAGAATTCTTGGGGCCAGGGATGTAGCTCTGTGGTACAGTGCCTATCTGGTACAAGCAAGACCCTTAGTTTGATATCCAGGACTACAGTGTAGCCAATTTTACTAAATTCACATAAAGAGATATGACTTTTTTTCTCCAGTGAGGAACGCTGAATTTTAAATAATGCTTTTTTTCTCCCCTGAATACTCCCATGGCAGGAAAGCCCCTTCACATGATTGAAAATTTTCATTATCTTTTATTAGTGTTTAATGACATAAACAAGGAAGTGCTAATCTTTGTAAGTATTAAAACTAATACTGATGACACCGACAGTAAAAAGTGAAGTGTAATGCCCTCAAACACCAGAAGACAGCAGGATTCCAAATGTATCCCTTGATGATTTCTTTATAATGAATAATTTTAAACAAAACTCATATCTATACATAGGAAATGGTAACATATGCAAAATACAATAAATTGATCTGTGATACAGTTACAATGGTTGTGCTTTTGTCTAATTATGATTTACAAGATTTCCTAGAACTAAGGAATATTATATTATTTGAAAGTGAATCATACCAGAAAAATTTTAATTGGGGAAAATTGCTATATTTTCTCCCAAATAATGCTATTATACATGATCATTATATATAATAATACATATAGACATGTCCTCTAAAACATATACTTACATAAGAAGCACTGTTGTTAGTCTCCATCCATTGCCATGAATATGAAATTCATATGTAGATACCGATGTTTTGTTTCATAGACAATTACACTCATCTGTTGCATATAGAAGCTCATGAGAGAAGGCAGCGGTGTACATATCAGCATTTCTTCAGGGATTTACCAGATGACCAGTGAATCATGAATATTTTACTATGTGTCCTCCTACTTCCATCAAAATATTTCAATGCCATTACATTCAGAAATAGATTAGACATTACACCATGTCTACGATCATGTTTATTCTGAAAGCAGATAAAGAGAAGACCAAATGACTTATTTTAAATGGAATTCACAATTACTTAGTTATCAGTGTTGAATGGCTTACTGCCTACTCCCACATTATCATTACCCAGCTCAATACCAGTCTTCACTATTCAGCAGATGGACATGAGGGGTGATGCTTGTTTTTGTCATATTGCAGAATGCACTTTAATACTTCCCCATGATGGGGAGATTGTGAAAAACCCATTGCAACTTCAAAATAGGCTAAATCAAAAATACATTTGGTTTCCTTAGTGTACAGAAGAACATATAGTAAGCCACACAGTGCACTGAGGATGGTTGACATTGGGGATCTTGTGATCTACTGGGAGCTCAGTCTTGATGCTCTATCCTAGCATCATGAGGCCATATCACATGGGAAGTCAATAGGTAAGGAAGAGATAAACATCTGATATTTGTGGTGTTGTTTCTAATGGATGTTGGTCACTTTGTATAATTGTATAATAAAGTCAAAAGCCAGTATCAAGTCATTGTTTTTGTTTTGTGGGGGGGTTGTTTTTAATTTGGGGGTTTTTTGGTTTGGTTTGGTTTGGATTTTTGGTTTTTTGAGACAGGGTTTCTCTGTGTAACTTTGGAGCCTATCCTGGCACTTGTTCTGTAGACCAGGATGGCCTCAAACTCACAGAGATCTGTCTGCCTCTGCCTCCTGAGTGCTGGGGCTAAAGGCATGAGCCACCAACACCTGGCCAATCATTGTTTTGTTTTGTTTTTTTAAGTAGTTATTCTGATTGGTTATAGTCAATTCTAACACTCCAGAAATCGGATGCTTTGCTGTAGTCTTGAGTGTTCATAAAAACATTTTAAATTTAAATGCATGTCAGTAATGTATCAGAGTAGACTTTCCCATTTTCTCATATCACAGTTTTTCTTCAGTTTGATTTCTTCCTCTTGTACTCACCACGCCCTGTGACACATACTGTGATTTCGTTAAATGTTCTAAAATGACGCTCTCGACTTTATCCTGAGCTACTGTGAAAACCAGTTACTTGAGGGTAGGAAGCTCTGGCTTCACTTAACTAGTTGCTGTATGATGTCCCTGGGATGTCCTGAAACTTCCAGAACAGCAGAGTTTAGTGTCTGATAAGTAAGTGACACAATCCTTAAAACTAATTCAATTTTTTTGAAATCAAAATATAATTATCTAATTTTCCTTTTCCTTTTCTTCTCTTCAGTCCGTCCTGTGTAATCCTCCCCACATCTTGCTCTCTTAAATTCACGGCCTCCAGCCTTTTTTCTTTAGTTGCTGATATTCGTCTGTCATATACTTACATAATATGTATATATACAGGCATATATGTATATATACATGATACATATGTATATATATGACAGGTATGTATGTGAGTGTGTATGCATGTATATATGTATCTGTGTACACATACATGATATATATATATATATATATATATGATATATATGCATATATATACCCAGGGATATAAATACAATTTGCTAAAGTCCATATAATTTCAATTACATGTATATAATTATATGATTTCAAGGCTATATGGTAAAAATTGACAATAGTTTTTAAGAAATTGAGACTGAAAGCAGAAATTTGAAAAATTAGTTTAATCTGCAAAAGGAAGACTGTTAAACATTAATATCCCTTCTCAATAAATCTGCAAGAAAATTCTATGAAGACTGTTAGTTTTGTCCTTGACAATGAAAACACAGTGGCTTTAAATAGTCAGACAAGGACTTAAGAACAGAGATCCTAAACACATAATTTCTTTACTCAAATAAGGGCTGAGTGTCCATATACAAAACTGACTGATGCTTTTAAACACCATTAGCTCTTCAGAACATCTCTGGACTGTTCATGAGCTACATTAGCACACATCCGGATAGAATTTAATTCTGAGATTAGAAATAGATAAGTAGACTTACAGATAGTAGAAGATAAATAGATGGTAGATTAATATGAATGGCATATGTATTTGGTACTCAAGTCAATGGACTAATCTCTGCTTATCCTATTGTAGCTTATTAACGCTTGCCACACTTTATCTTCTTTCCCATTCTTTCCTTTGCAGCTTGTTTTCACCAATGGTTATGCTGAATGCATTACTTAGAAGTTTTATGTTTACAGAAAAGCACACTTAATTTTGAAAACAAGGATTTTAAGTTTTCACAATCTGATTAGGCAGATGAATAGTGCTGTTTGAATAGCGATCAAAAATAATGTTCCTCCACCACAAGAAAATCCAATGAATCAACAAACCTGGACTCAGAGGGGCTCACTGGGACTCAACTGACAATAGGGCAGCCTGTTTGAGTCTAACTTTGATCCTCTGCATGTATGTTATAGTTGTGTAGCTTGGCACTTTTGTGATGCCCCTAATAGAGAGAGAAGAAGCTCTTTCTGATGCTATTGCATGCTCTTGAGACTCTTTTCCTCCTACTGGGTTCCCTTGTCTAGTCTTGATATGAGGGGAGCTCCCTAGTCATATTATAACTTGATATGCCATGTTTGGTTGATATCCCTGGAAGGCCTGTACTTTTCTAAAGAGAAAGGAGGAAGAGTGCATGGGGAGTGAAGGAGGGGCTGGGAGGAGAAGAGGGAGGAGAAACTGTGGTCAGGATGTAATACAAGCACAAATAATTATTTGAAAAATGTTGATCCTCATTTGTATTTAAGGCAGGTTTCCAGAGGGCACAACATGTTTATTAAAGGATTTTTGCATATTGTCCTAAGGTATTATCACAACCTCCTTTTCCTTCCAAATCAGAAACTAACAAAAAAGTCAGTTGGATTTGTTCCTGTGAAGGTAAGTGGAAGGAAGTAAAACCCTAGTAGAACACTAATTAGATGGCAATGGTGGTGGAGATGTTACAGAAACAAATTCCCTCAAGTAAAACAATGAGTAGGGCTCAGAAAAGTAGTCTGGAAGTAACTCCATAACATATCAAGGTCAAACTAAGCTTCCAACATTAGAAATATTGCATCAAGTTATCACAGTCAACATCTAGTTAAATATGCCCACATTATTAGAAGTATCCAGGTGATTTGGTAATAATTATGTTTTATTTTAATTTCTGTTCCATTGGTAAGTGACCCTGAAGAAAGGGTTTATTTTGTCTCACAATTCCAGGGCATATCAGTGAAGTAAAAATGTCACGAAATTAAAACAGCTAGTCACATCACATCCTCAGTTAAAAGAAGAGAGAATGAACATATGTACACTCACTCATTCACTTGTTCCCTAGCTTGCTTGCTTGCTTATGCTCAGCTTAGTTGTTCTACTCTTATACAGTTCAGGAGCTCATGAAGAGGGAATGATGAGTTTCCTACATCAATAACCCAAATCTTCTCATATCCTAAACCAAAGTAAAGAACCTCTCACTAGGACTATGCCCAGGTGACTTTAGGTTGTGTCGAGTTTACAGTTATACTAACCGTCACAAGCTAGGATTTTTTTACCCTATACAGCTAACCATAGGAAAATTAAATTATAAAGTCTGTACTGCTTGTGCTTTTGCCATATAGTGATATAGATAATGCTATCCTAGGGAATGTGATTTGAAGGTTACAAACCCACGAAGGTTCCACTATGAGTTCTGTTCTCTCTGGGTGAACCCATTTTAGATCTTTGCTGGCACAAGACAGACATTGGGGCTTTTTAACACACACTACCTAGAGAGATAGGTCTTGGATGAGCCATGTATCTGCACACTTGATTCTTGAATTCTTCTCAGAACCTGTATGCATTCCCTCAAGCCATACCCCATTGGTCCCCTAGAGCCAGAAAGAGCTAATCAGGGACAGTCACACATCCCTGAGTCTAACATTTCCTCCAAAGTAACATAATATGCAGTCATCATATTTCAGGTGACATAAATCAAGAGTTTCATCAAAACACCAATGGGAGGCATATAGGTGTATATCTGCAGAGCCAGTATTTCTTACAAGTCTGAGCCTTTGAAATGGAAAGCCAATAAATATCTGCCATGTAAAGTACATTTCAAACAGTTTTGAGGAAACTTTCTTTTTTAAATTTAGTTTTGTTTTTTACAGTGCTGGAAATTGAACCCAGGGCCTCAAACACGTTAAACAAGTGATTTACCACTGAACTATACCGAGAGTTCTACCTTCAATGCCCCCCCCCAAATTTGGAAATTTTTTAGGTATTTTTTTTTATTTTGATTTGGTTTTTCCTTTTTGTTCTTTTGATTTTTACTTACCACAATGAACTGAGAATGTCCCAAGGACATACCATATGATTGAAGGAAGAGGCTGATCTGCCTATAAGTTGGGTACCAAAGACTGCCAGCAGCAGCAAAAGCTAAGACTAGGCATTGGAATGCATAGACTCTCACAGAAGTCTTCTTAAAAGATTTTTAAATATTTTATTAATTTATTGAGAATTTCATAAACAAATACAATGTATTTTGATAATAGTCAATTGTATTCCTTCCCCTAACTCCTCCCAGGTCTTCCCCCATCCTCTCAACATTCTTTTTGCAGCCAATTGAGTCCAATTTGTGCTATCCATATACTCAGAAGTGTAAGACATTGTCTAGTTGACTTACTAGGTCAACTCTTAAAGAAAACGGGCTCTCCCTCCCCCAGAAGCAACCAACTATCAATAACTCTTCAGTTAAGAGTGAAGGCTCCTGAGCCCTACTCTGCCACACACACTGGAATATATTGACTGGCTTAATCTTGTATAGGCAACCACAGTAGCTGTGATTTCATGAGTTCAATGGCCTTGTCATGTTCAAAAAGCACTGTTTCTGATCCTCTCTTACCTCTGACCCTTGACATCTTCCTGCCCTCTCTTCTATATGGTCCTTGGGGCAAAGGTATGATATAAATGCCCCATTTTGGGCTAAGCACTATGTTGACACTTATTCACCATACTTTGACCAGTTGTGAATTTCTGTGTTGGCCACCATCCACAGCATAAAGAAACTTTCTTGATGAATCTGGAGAGCAATGATCTATGTAGAGATAAGGAATTTATAGAGCAATTAAATACTGTGCCATTTAGCAAGGTAGTAATAGTAGATTCACTGCTGATGCTTATTCTTATTAGGTCCCCATTCATAGATTCTTGGCTAGATTTACAGTACCAGGCATTATGTTTCATTTCATGGAGTGGTCCTTAAATGCAATCCGAAAACATCTGGTTATCCTCATAATATTTGTGTCATTATCATACCTATATGGGTATATCTTGCTAAGTTAAGTGCTACTGTAGCTCATGGGTTTCACAGCTGAGCAAGATTGCTGCCCTAGTATCCTACATAGCACCTTCCAGTACTGTCTTAGTTATGGTTTTTATTGCTGTGAAGAAACACCATAAGAAACTCTTATAAAGATAAACATTTAATTGAGGGGGCCTTGCTTACAGTTTCAGAGGCACAGTACATTATCATCATGGCAGAGAGCATGGTGGGATGCAGGAAGACAGAGTGCGCAGGGCTGAGAGTTCTACATCTTGACTCAGAGGCCTTTTAACATCTCTGAGATTTTTCTCTCTTATAAAATAAAACTTCTAAGGCTCCTTCTACCATGCTATTGTGATATAAAAGTACTTAACTTAGGCAATGCCCTTAGAACAGTGTCCAACCAGAGTAAATATCTGACATGAGTTAACTATTATCCTTATCCCAAACTCAAGTAACTGGTTGTGGTTAGTAAAAATGGTGTGGCAGCCATTAGCTACATGATTTCTGCATTCTGCACAGCTATTTATTCATGAATCCCGTGGATTACACATGTCTTGATTTGCTCCAGATGCCAGATTGAGTTTGAAACTTTGGCAGAGTTTCTTCATAATCTCTATTCAAGAATCAACAAAACTACAGTGTGATTTAAGTACATGTCAACATCTACATAACACAACACCAGCTGTTTCTATCCAAACTTGAGCAGAGGGACTCATGAGATAATAAGTTGAGTGTGTCTGATTGACCACTTTTCAGGAGGGGATAGATGACACTCATAAAAGGATGAGATAAAGCAGGTCCATCTGTGATGGTGCTGCATATGACCACTAAAGGACATAATTCTCCCACATTAGGCAATCAGCCACTCTTGGACTCACTGTGGTCTAAAGAAATCCAGTTTTGCCTAAGTTCTGCCATGCTACTTGGGCATCTTAAAACTTTGGCTGGAGGATGTAGAAATGTGAAGATTCAGTTCCTGTGCTCCAACTTGAGACAAGTTAGAAAATTCATTCCATACTTGAATTGGCAAAGGATGAACTAAGACATTTCCCAAGTCTGACTGAAGCTCTTGACACAACACACTCTTCTCTTATGCACAGATATTGAACCTAAGAGCACTTCATACTAGCTTTCTTGCATTCAAATCTCTGCTCAAAATGATCTGCAGAATCCCAAGATAAACAATCTTTAAAACTAATTGACCAGTAACGAAAGGAAGTATAGTGGTAGAGAATATGCCTGGCATGCTTTAGATCCTAGATTTCAACCCCAGTAACACTAAAAGAATATTAAAACAAAATATATCAACTAACTAACATATGAGCTAATCAGCTCACAATACTATTTAGAGTCTAAATGGAGAGCTGAAGAGAGGGCTCAGCAGGTAAAAGCATACATGGCTCATACAGAAAAACTGAGTTTGACTCCTAGCTATCAAGTCAGGCAACCCACAAGCACCTGTAGGTTCTGTAAGACCTATAACATCTGATGCCTCTTGGCTTACATGGGTACCTACACCCAATGGCACACATATACACATGGATAGAGATAGAAAGATAGATGATAGATAGATAGATAGATAGATAGATAGATAGATAGATAGATATGGATAGATGATAGAGATTTTCTCTTTAAAAGTATTTTATCTGAATTTCTTCTGAAGTTCTGGTCTGTGGATGAGTAAAATGAGGCAATTTATCATAGGAAAGAGGAACTGTTAAGAAAAATATCTATAGTTTATCATACAAAAATAACACATGTCGACATCTTCCTTTCTATGTATCACTTATAAGTAGACGCTAGAAAATAAAATACAAATGTGAAAATTACTGACTGTTGTATTGACAGACACATAAAAAGACTGAGGAAGACAAAGGGTATGTGGATAAAACGATCTAAACTGGAAAAACCATGGGTTAATCAGGTTTGGTGCCAAAAGAATTCCATTCCCTTCATTACTTGACCCAAATCCAAAGTTCTCTTAAATGAGTTTAATGTTTCCATGCCTAAAAGTTCTAACATTCAGTCTAAACTCAGAAAACTGATAAAAAAAACAAACTACTATCTTTTAAGTCAACCCCCAAACCATGTAAGTTATATATATGAACATAAGATTTACATTCTCTGAACCAGAACTGTGAAGTTAATTAACTCAAATTTTCCTCATGTCAGCTAATTTCTAGGTGTTCAGCCATTTAATTTCAAGGTGCCTCCTTTTGTTGCTCCAAGCATGAACAATAGTGAAGGAAAGTGTAAGAATGCAGAAAATGGTGATGGATTTGGCCACCAGGGAAACAAATAGTTGAAACTGGAGAAGGAGCAATTGTTGCACGTATAATAAGAACTTGAGTTCACCCACTAAAAAGCTGGGAATGGCTGTGCACTTACCACCAATCCAGGAGCTGTAGGAGGTGGAGACAGGAAGATCCCTAGCTGAACAGCCTGTCTTGTTGGAGTTTTCAACTAGAGATCCTGTCTTAAAGAAATATAGCAGAGAATAATAGTCTTCACTTGGTCTATAAGCACAAACATGCACAATCATATGTTCATGTAGCATTCAACACACACACACACACACACACACACACACACACACACACACACACAACAAATGAATTCAGAGGTCCATAATCTTTACAAAATATTAGTTAGCAATGATAATCTGTGACAAAACATTTCTCTCAGTGAAGGGTTTCTTTAACAAAGTGATTTTTGTGGCTCTTAAAATCTTCCTGGCCTTTTTTGTGATGACATGGTATTCTACTTTAAAATAATTGCTTTTAAAAGAATGTCAAAATTTTAACATAATATTTTTTGTATTTTTCCATTTTGGTACACAGAAATTGTTGCGACATGGATTGCAATATTAACTTGTTATAAAAAGCAGCCTCACATACCGGGAAGGTGGCAGGGATGCAATCTGTTGGATTTGGGGGAGCAAGCTGTCCAGAACTTGCATCCATTCCTCAAAATTCTACAGTATAAAGGGGAAAAGGTTTGTGCACACTTGAAAAGCACTGGAAATTAAGCATCACCTTCATCTATTCCTGATTTAACACCAAGAGTCCTTTCTTCCTCTTTCCTGTTTAATGTTGTTTGTTAAATAAAAGGCAAGAAATCAGGATTATTCATTGTTGTTGTTTAAATAAATTGCCCTCAGCAATCTTCACTCTGTGGAGAGAAGTATTTGGTATAACTTCCTTCTCTTCTCCATTTGGTAATGCAGCAAGGCCCTTTTATTAAAAAGGGCACATAGTTCTATTCCATGGATTTATTTCAAGGTTGGATTTGCTTAACAATTCCAACTCTACATAGTGTATTGAAGAAAAGAGGTTAACACTAAGTCGGGGTACAGTGTTTACCATGCATTAATTTTGGTTTCTTTGTAAGAAAAAAAAAATGATCCTTTATAGATCCATGCAACCAAAAACGACCTTTGCAGCAAGAATTGAGAATGGAGACAGGTGAGCCACAGCAGTAGTCAGAAGGCATTTGTGGCTATTGTAGAACACTTTGGTGTGGACGGGGTTTGTGTGTGTGTGTGTGTGTGTGGTAGGTTAGATTCTGCAGCAATTCAAATTGAAAGTTACTCACATCGCTTTGCTATTGTGCCAGTTAATATTCGGAGTCTCATTAAATGTAATTACAAGGGGCATCAAATTCAGGGAAACAGCTGGATAAACAGGATTCCGGCAGGAAAGAGAGAGAAGGGTGTTCAACCCCCCACACTTGGCCACCCTCATTCTGGCTGCATCTCCTGTAGCTTCAGACCTAGGCTTCTGGGCACCTGGCTGAGACACTGGATTCCTGTCACCCGTTAATCGCTGTTTTTTCTCTTCAATATCTTTCATTTGTTTCATCTAAAGGGGAAAAAAGACTTGTGTTTCAAAGACCTACAGAACAGCAAACAAAGGAATATTTAATCACAGCAGAGAGAACTGGTGATGTTTTGTTATATAACTTCCCAGGCTTTTGTGTGCAAGCTTACTCTTCTATTTTTTTCTTTTCTTTTAGAAAAAATGAAACCATCCACTTTCTACTCACAAAACAGCTTGTTTCATAACATGCTAGTCTCCTGTTTCCTTAGAGGGTTACACCATAAAATGCGCAGTGCCTCTTTCAAGTGACAAGGCTAGAGAGAATCTGCAGAGCCCCACCATGCACAGTGCTTTTCCTAAAGAAGACAATCAATGTTCCACATTTTTAAAAAGTATGGCCAAATAAATTTTTAAGAAACACAGCATGAAGAGCTGGAAACATATCTTGGTCAGTAAAATGCTTGCCTGTCAAGAATGGCCCAATCTACTGTACACACACAAAAGCAATAAAAACTAAAAAACAAATGGTGGCCCATACTTAGACTCTCAGCTCTAGGGAAGCAGCAAATTCCAGGGCATAACCTACTTGACCAATTCTAGACCAGTGAGAGACTCGGTCTCAAAGGAGATAGAAGGCACCAAAGAAATGACATCTGAAATCATCCTCTGGCCTCTGCACACATGTGCATGCACACACACGTGAACCTGATTGTGTGCATACACACACACACACACACACACACACACACACACACACACACTGTGGAAGGAAACAGTTAGTCATGTATTCTTTACAGTAAGAATCTAGAGTCAAATACAACAAGCCATGCTCAAAATAGGTTTAAAACCTGGGAACAGCAGTCTAAGCAGGAGAATCTGACACATGAAGACTAATGATAGCACAGTGGGTGTGGGAGTCTACAGTTAGTCATGTTTCCAGAACCTTCCATGGAGGTTTGACCATGCCCTTCAGACTCCCTCTGCTGGCTTCATTATTTTTAGGGTAATTACTATGAGTCATTAGGGCCTAGATGCTCTCCCTTTGGCCTACCAATCTAAACTGCTTCCCTCTGACCTTCCTTGTTTGGGGGTTGTTTTGTTTGTTTGTTTTTTCCTCTCCCTTTGAGGCCTTAAAGTTCATCCCAGGCTTTTGCACAATTGATGCCTCTGCTTTCGATGCTTTCATCTCATTGGCTACTGTTCATGAGCCGCTTCTTGACAAAACAGAGATCTTCCTTGTTCCATGCCTCACAGAGAAAAACAACTTCTTGCCTGTCTATGTCTTACACTTTGTTGTTCGTTTTTCCATACAAGAAATCAATATCTGATATTCATATTGACATGTTAATGGAATAATAACTTTCAGTTGACATTGAAAGACCCTCTAAAATATAGTAAGCAATTGTCTGAAATCAGTATTGTGTTGTTATCAATTGAGTATCCACTGACACTGTTGTCAATAGGAGGTACTGCAATGGAGGCTTAGGGCCATTTATAAGTTGTATTCTACAGATGGAGAAGAGGGGTGTTAAAAATGACTGCGGGCTCAAAGACTTGAACCATGGTAAAATTCATGCAGAAATGGATGTGGTGAGAGGGATAAATGGAGGTACTTGAGAAAGAGAGTGGTAGAGAGAGAGAGAGAGAGAGAGAGAGAGAGAGAGAGAGAGAGAACAAGGGAGGTGTACCCTGAAAGCAGTGTTAAGCAGAATGATCAAATAAGCACAAAGGTCATGGGAAATAGTACACAGTTGTCACTGAGACCCCTCTCAATCCATAACTCCACATTCCAGATCTAGGCCTCCCCACTTATGGGGATACCAGGGCCATGGCAAACCATGTCAATAGACTCCTGAGAAAACAAAGGCCATCCACATTAAAAACTGTATATCATGAATGTCAAAGTTCACTTCTGGCCCTGGATGTACTCCTCTGAACCGGGATCCCTGCTCTGTGAGCTTTCTCCTCAGGGTCTGGACAAAACCCTGCTAAACCTAGATAATTGTTCAGCTGCTGCTTCCAGCTACCCTCAGGCTTATGGACCATCAGCAGTGCACTGTTCAAAAAGCTAATGAGGTTACTGTCTGCCTGTGTGGAAGATGGGGGTATGTAAGAAGAGACAGGCAGAAGGGAGCCCATAATGAAGGGATTGAGAGAGTGTCTCTGGTCTCCCTCCATGACATAATCCAAAACTGATTAGGAAACCCTTAACAAGTTCAGGCTGAGCTGCTGGGATTTAAACAATTGTAACACAGCACATAACGAGGGCAGAGATAGCCTCTCTCCCACCTCCCCATTGTTGAAGCATGTTCTCCTCCTCCAGGTCCTCCCAAAAGATCTGAGCACATACTCTTTCTATGCATACATAGCATGCCGAGGGCTCCAGAGTCACAAAACAGCCCAGGAAAAACAACACCCAGTGTACAATATGCTCATTGTTTTGATTGAGACATTGCTGTTTGAAATGCATTTATTTCTGCCTCTCGTAAATACTCCTCCACAGCAGGAAAAAGAAAATATAACAATAAGAAATGCATTGCAAATAGAGGCCCAGACATCTCACACTTAAATTACAGTCACGTCATCACAGTCCTATCCCATCTTTCAATTATAGTCATTAATTGAGGATGTAACCCAGAAACAATTACCTCCATGAAATTCTAATGAGTCTCCTGCAGTTAATATCAAAAGCAAACAATGGGAAATGCATGCTGGTGCTGGAGTCTAATCCAATTGTGTCGATTAAAATAAAGAAAAGCTTTTTCTGTAGCATGTAAATCCGACTTTTTGCCTCCGCTCAGTTTTCATTTCTCTGGGAGTGACAGACTTTCTGCATAGATTTGCTTATCTAACAAGCTTACCAAGTTGCCGTCTCTCAATTATGTGCAAAGCGCATCTTAAAACTCACCAGTGGGGAATATATTCTGCTCGGGGGACCCATCTTTGAGAGACTCTCCCATTTCCATATGAAAAGTCGACTCTTTGTTTACCTGAATGAAGTGGGAATAGGCTTCAGATTTTACTCCAGCAAAAATGATAATATAATAATAATAACATTGATGGTGATTCTGGGAGAACTTAGTGGCCACTTAATCTTAAATATTTCTCCTTTTCTAGGAATAAGTAATAAGATAAAAAAAGGAAAAGAAAAAACAATAACAACTATGAACTATTTCCAACTACAAAAAAATACAAAGAAAATGCACTTTAAATTGTGTGTGTGTGTGTGTGTGTGTGTGTGTGTGTGTGTGTATGTGTGTGTGGTGTTGGAGTATGTTTCTGCCAACTTAAAACAGACCAGGACACACCTAGGAATAATTTGAATTTAGAACTTGCCTTCATTTGATTGGCCTTTAAGCATGTCTATGGGACATTTTCTTGATTGCTGAGTAATATAGGAGTGTCCAGGCTTCTATGAGAAGTAACATCCCTCGGCAGATCCAGGGCTGTATGATAAAATGTAGTTTAGAAAACCAGAGAAAGCAAGCGGGTAGCAGTGATTTTCTGATGTCTCTGCTTCAGCTTCTATCCACCTCCAGGTTCCTGCCCTCCTTGAATTCTTTGTTTTTTGTTCTTGTAGCTTCAATGATAAATCATTTTTCAATTTAATTTAGAATCAATCTTATTTTACATATCAATCCCAGTTTCCTCTCCCTCCCATCCTCCCATGTCCTTCACCGATCCCTCCCCATCGCACCCCCCATCCACTCCCCAGGGAGAGTGAGGTCTTCCATGGGGGATCATCAAAGTCTGTCATATCATTTGAGGGAGGGCCTATGCCCTTCTCCATGTATCTGGGCTGAGAGAGCATCCCTCCATGGGGAACAGACTCCCAAAGTCCATTTGTGCACTAGGAATAAATACTGGTTCCACTGTCAGAGGTCCCATAGACTGCCCAGGTCTCCTAGCTGGCACCCACATTCAGAGGGCTTGGTTCGATCCAATGCTGGTTCCCCAGCTTTATAACTGGGATCTGTGTGCTCTCACTTGGTCAGGTCAGCTGTTTCTATGGGTTTCTCCAGCTCAGTCTTGACCCCTTTGTTCATCCTTCCTCCCTCTCTTCAATTGGATTCCAGGAGTACAAAATATCCGGGAAATATGGGACACTGTGAAAAGACCAAACCCTGACTGAATTCTTGCCTTGGCTCCCCTCCAGGATGGACTGTATCTTGTAAGGCAAATAAACCCTTTCTTCCTCAACTTGCTTTTGGTTAATGTTTTATCAGAGCAACAAGAGAGGAAGGTAGGACAGTGTGTGTGCTGTGGGGAACATCCACAATTGGTCCTCAAATCAGCCATGAGGCAGAATCAGGGAAGGCAGGAAAAGACTAAAGATAAAAAAGGAGTTTTCTTTCAAAGGAGAAACAGTTCTTCAGAAAGGAGAGAGTCCCAAACTGAGGATACAGTACTATGAACAGTGCTAAGTGACAACTGAAAATGAGTGCTTGGGACAGAAAAAGATGCATAAAAACTACCTAGACAAGCTCAAAGAAATAATATTTTTGTGTAATAATAAAATCTACTTTCTAGAAATAACTGGATCTCTGTGTAAAACTTACATCCCTTGGTAGCAGTAACCAACTGTAGGCAGGTGTACAGAAAGGAGGTTGCCCAGAGCACAGCTAGATTCTGAGAAGCAAAGACAGTATGTCCATATGGAAATGACATAATCACAGGGAAGTGATCTGAACACAGGACTGTTGTTCAGCAGAAAGCAAGTCCTGAATGACTTTATTGGTTTTCTGGCATCACTAATGGCTAGCTGAAGAATGTCTTAACTCAGTTTGCATCTGTGGCATTCTCGTTTGAGCTGTGATTGTAAGGTGATTCTTACCCTATCCAGGTTCTCTAATATATAAGAATATGTTGTCCTCATTTAAGTTTGAGGATCCAAAGAAAGGAAAAGGCAAATATATATAGGGAAATTTCCAGCAGGAAAGTGATATTTCCTAGAATTGCCTTACTACATGCTAGCTGAAAACTATAATCAGATAATCCAACAAGATTTGAAAAGCAATGGTGAGTTACTTGCAGCTATGGAGAAAAATCACGAGGCAGTAGAACAAAATTGAGGTAACTTTCACACAACAGAAGCAATAGCAATGGGAAGTGGAAAAGACAGAGAAGAACTCTCTCAAATCCACTGGAAAAAAAGTCAAATGATTTTACTAATAAAGAGTAAATTTTACCAGGAGTATTGGTTCATGCCTTTAATCCCAGCACTCAGTAAATAGAAACAGATAGATCCCTTTAAGTTTGAGGCCAGTCTAGACTATATATAATTCCAGGACAGCCAGTGCTAGGTAGACAGACCTTGACTCAAAAATAAGTAAATAAATAAATAAAATGGATGGATAGATAATGAATAAATGGATGGATAGATAATGAGTAAATAAATTATTTCAAGATGCACAAGAAGGATAAATTGTGACACAAAGACCACAGTCTAGCACCTGCTGAAATAAGAAAAGGGTAAGACAACAAAAGAGAGAGGTGCAGATGAAGAGGTGGCTCAGAGCTTCAGACTGCCTGCCTGCTTCTTTGGCAGAGGAACAGAGTTCAGTGCTCTGTACCCACCCAGGGCAACTTACACACACACACACACACACACACACACACACACACACACATACACACACACGCACACACACACAAACCAAATTAAAATATATAGATCTTAAATAAAATGAAAAAGATACATATAAATAGAAAACAGAGAAGGAAAATGTAATATTTCTGTAATGAATAGCTCTGGGAAATAAAATCAATAGGAAATGTCAAATATTTGTGTTATATTTTTTAAAATTATCTGTGAGTGCTTAGCCCTAAATAAGTCATTTATATATAGCATTTTCTTGGGGCTCAATGTGGGAGTGGGTGCAGAAAGAATATATTGCAACAATGAATTCACAGCAGCTACAGATGTCTGTACTGGGTCTGCAAAAGAATGGGCCTGTCAACAGTCAGGGGCTCAGGCAGCCATATTCCTCACTGATGAATTTAACTATTTGCTACAACAGATCTGGGGAGAGAATGAATAATTGCCTTCTGTTGTGTATCCAATGATGATCCCATTAGCCTCCAATGGATTGTTTCAAACTATTGGTCACACAGATATTCCCTGTGAGACAAAATGAATCACACAAAAGCAGAGTTATGAATAAGGGAGAGGAATTGGTTTGTATGAGGGCTCAGGCCTGACAAGAGAGTGAAGAAAATAGACAGTACATTAGGGGTGAAAGGTAATCAAAATAATATTTATAGTATGCATATATGAATTTTTCAAAAAACAAAATTAACCAATTAAAATATTTTAGAAGTCCTAACTTCTAAATGAAGATAGATGTAACTCTACATACTGACTATGCACCAATAAAAATTAACTCTGCTCAACACCAAAGTATATTCTAATAAAATTGTTGGTCTTCAAAGGTGAAAACATTCAATGAGTAGGTTGACCAGAATGCCAATATTATATTGAAAAAGCATAGGATTAGTGTCAGAGTTTTTCTAGTTTTTAATCCAGAAGATGCAACACATAAAAGTTGTTTAAGGAAAGAAAAAAAGAAAGGGAGAGGAAGGAAGGAAGGAAGGAAGGAAGGAAGGGGAAGGCAAGAACAGAGGAGAACAGGAGAGGGCCAAGAAGAGAAACCCAGATGTGCTGCTATATATCTGTAACCCATGTGCTAGAGAGGCAGAGACAGCAGCTTCCCAGGCTCACTGACCAGCCAGCTACTGGGAACTCTAGGCCAAAGAAAGATACTGTCTTAAAGAATAATGAAAACAAAACAAAAGGTGAACTGAGCTAGTCTCTCTCTCTCTCTCTCTCTCTCTCTCTCTA